TTTGAGAACAGGAGAAAGACACAATCTGCAAAACAAAAACCACATCCATAACTCAGAACACATCCCCCAGCACACTAAACATACGGCTTCATGTTCCTGCCAAATTAGGTTAAGCTGCAATGATCTATAGAGACTTCAGAACTAACACTTAACCCATTTCCCTTTGATTTTCTCTTCTTTAGTGCCACTTAAAAACATGGCTGCTACATGCTTTGGCAAACTGTTTTCAATTTTCATGCCAATGCAGCACGCTGGAGTAAAGGTTTTACTCACAAGCCTCTTCCAAATACTTTTTTCAAGAGTTTCAGCTCTGCTGTACAGGAACTACTCTTATATTTCCTCTGGTCTCAAGAATCAGATTCATATGAATGACTGTTTTCTTTAAGAACAGCTAAAACCTGCTGGCAGTCGACAGATTGATGTAAAGTGCGCTAGACATTATGCCGGTAGTGTAGGACGTGAGTTGGACAGCGCTGCTCCAGACACTGTGAATTGTGGCCTCCTTCCTGACATACCTGTGGCCTGAACCTCCAAACCTTTCCACAGACACACACACAAGCTAATCTCCCAAGATCAGCACCAAAAGAGTTTCTCTGCACCGTATACAGCCTTTCCTTCTTCCCCCCTTTTTCCCCCCACAATCGTATGCTAATTCCAGGATGTGGGATCTGCTGCATTCAACCGGCGTGTGATTATGTTGCCCTCAATCAGTGTGCATTGCAAGATTAGCAACCAGCAAAACAAATGTTTGACAACAAAAGAGTGAGCTGAATTTTTGAGCCAGAGTCATGAGAGACTTTTCAGTGACTGTAATTTCTCTGCTGATTGACTGGCCAGTGATCTAAGATGACCACAGGCCCTGCTTTTATTTTTCTGTTATTGTTAGGATAGTATTGTTAGCACTTGGTTAATAGTTACAGAGTTGAGCCCACTCAGAACAGGCTGAAGAAATAAGGTTTCCAGCTTCACAGTTTTTTACTTTTGCCAAGTTGGCTTTCCCTTCCTGTCAGTGTTGTGTTCAAGTTTGGCGAGGGCAGGGGGAGTAAATGTGACCAAGTTAATGTGAATGTCAGTTTGCTGTAAACACATCCAGACTGTATATTCCACAGAAATATATGGTTAACTATGAGGTTTGGTCTAATGGTGCCGTTTAGTTTTACAGAATGGAAGGACTGACAGAATGAAATACAAGATGCATTTGAGAAATTATTTTTGTGGTTTACCTGAAAATGTTTTTAATAAAACCAGGTTTTTGTAAATAAAAGAGTCATGTAGTATGTTTACATGTTTTAATGTTAGTGTTTTAATTGTATATGTGTGGAAACCAACCAGGTCTCACTTCCAGCTCATCTGATACAGACGCTTGGCCAGTGTCCCTCGGTATCAGATACAGGCACACAGAGGCATCTTTTAGCAGTGGTATGAGATGCTTTGGGTGGCCCTTCCACATTGGGACTGAGTTACTGCCCCAAGTGAGGGAGCGTGAGATGGATTGATGAGTGATGCGTGCGCTGTGCAGGGCCATCATGGTGAAGAAAGAGCTGAGCTGGAAGGTAAAGCTTTCGATTTACCAGTCCATCTACATCCCAACCCTCACCTATGGTCATAAGTTATGGATAATGACCAAAAGAATGAGGTTGCGGATACAGGCTCAGCCATAGAGATGGGGTGAGGAGCTCAGACGTCTGTAGGGAGCGTGGAGTAGAGCCACTGCTCATTTGCGACGAAAGGGGTCAGTTGAGGTGGTTCAAGCATCTGATCAAGATGACTCCTGGGCCCTTCAGCTGGAGGTGTTCCAGGCACATCCTACTGGTAGGAGGCCCCAGTTACTAACGAACGTACTTAGTTTAACCCAAACCATGATGTTATTTCTAAATCTAACCAAGTACTTCTGTTGATTAAAACTATAGAAGTAAACCTAAAACTCAATATTGTCTATGTTCTGAGTTTATTTTGAAAGAGACTACATGTCTCATTCTGAAAAGACACAATGCATGTACATTGACATACCGTCCCTAAGCATTCAAAACTGATAGTGGAGGGTACAGAGCATCATAGTCTTACCAAGTGTTGGTATTTGAAGATTTGGGAGTGAAAATGTGTTGAAACATATAAATACAGACATATATCAAAATATACTTACCTGCACATTATTTCAGCAGTCCCTGCAAGGCATATGATTTTTTAAAACTACATCAAAAAGTAAAAAACAAAAACAGCTGTATTTTTGATATACTGTTCTTTAGCCCGTTGTAAACTTGATAAACGGCACCTGTGTCCACCAAGTAGAGCCAGCTGACTCTAAAGATGTTGTACTGACTTGAGAGACAACCTGCATTGGTACAACTGCAATAAAAAATAATAGTAGACACTGGATTGACAGTTGAACGTAAGTCAGAATTTTCCACCTGAGATTTGGAAGAGCCAAAGCTAGTCATAATTCTGAGTTTTCTCCTTCATGTCTTACCAAGTGAGTGCCGACTAGAGATGAACAATCTCCAGTCTGTGTGATGAATAGGCTTGGAGCGCACATCCCGGCGCTGCTGTGATCGATGGGGTGTCGCTGTAAACCTCATCCCTAAAGACCATCGGAGACACATTCTGATTAGCACTTAATCTTACTTCCATCCACCCTGGCTTCAGGAGAATGAGTGTAGTTTGGCAGAGCCAGCATACCTCTCTGAAGACTGTCTCCCAGAACACCAACAAAAGAACTGAAAAAAGATAATTCTGACATTCGCTGACTGATTTTCACATGATTACAAACTGATGCTTGCACTGGGCCCACTTAGTGCTCACTTTCGTCTGGGTGAATCTGTTCAGAGAAATCTAATATGCGGATCCACGGCCAGTAACACAGGCATGCTCTGCTCTGTCTCTCAGGGTTTGTCCAGTTTGCTGCAAAGTGTTTTATGAAGCGTTGTGGTAGGTCCCTCAGTTTGAGCAGCGCTGTTACTCGGTCCCTGCTTGTGATATTTAAGACTTGGCTTAGATCAACTGAAGTGTCTCTCGTTTGGAGATTGGATTCGCCCAAGGACATTTTCCTGTAAATGGGACGCTAAGGAGTTTACATTGAAAGTCACTTATTGTGGAATGGACTGTCTTGTTACTGGCTCCTTTGTCTTCCCCAGGCAACTCGAGCCGAGGCCAGAGCCACTGCGGTTTTGGGGGCTTTCATCGGCTGTCTCAACACAATCGTTCAGGAGGCCAGCTCTGACCAGAATTAATGCAATATTCACATTCATAACCAATCAGCATTCGAACGTCGAGAGGGGAGCCAGAGTTTGCATGAATGACAAATTGTTGAATTGGACATATTTACTGTGAATTAGAGAATATCCTGCTGATATATCTATTATGGTTGTTTTGGTTTTATTCTTGTACTCGGCTTGTATTCTGCTGGTCAGCCCCCCCACAGTTGAGTCTGTTGCCTCTAGTTCACCCTGTCCCTGTCATCGGGTGAAGTCAGGGTCATCCACACATGAGGGATGGTACAAAGATGCAAGAGAATTCATCTTTCTGTTAATAGTGCAGAAAAAACAGGCCTCTGAACCAACATGATAGATGCATCTTCCAGTGCGGCTGTAGAAAAACACTAACAATAATGCTGACCTCATATTGCTACGTTCTCTTAGGCCAAGGATACTCAACTTGCTCTGCCCGCTGGCCACTTTTGCAAAATGACAGAAGGCCAGGGTTAGTTGATAAACAAACATTCATATTATATATCAGTATAGGGCCTATATAATCTTTGCAAAAAGGCAAATCCAATTGCAGCAGCCCGGTCAGGTGTATGCTGCGTCTCTAGGATTTGAGGACACTAGGGGTCTTAGTCTGGACCTCTATCGGTCTAAGGGGGGAGTCAGTGGGATCCTCCCCTGGCACTTTTCTGATAAACAATCTGTATTTTGATGCTTTTTATACACATTAGCACATTAATTACATTCAAAGTGCACAAAAAATTCCCACTGGGAAAATAATTGAGAATTAGAAAATGGTCATCTGGCCATCCAGGTCGTAGGTTGAGTATCACTGTCTAAGAGGCCCCCAACACATGAGATGTAGGAGCTACTGTCATTGTTGAAAATGAGCCTAAGGCTGTTTGTGAATTATGTATTTCAGTTTAGTACAGAAGTAGGCACTGGCAATAATCCTCCTTAAGAGATGGGTATGAATGCAAAAATCAGTAGGAGATGTGTGCATTTAAACATTCTCATCCTTAGGGCAACGACTGATCACTTTCAGGTTACATCATGGACCATCATGGATCATCTCATTGGTTGTTCATTGATAGGTCATTGTGGAAACAGACTAAATATTGAGCATAGTGGTGAGGTTTAATTGCAAGCATTATGCAGTGCCCAAGGTAACAATGACAAGAGGTTGGGTGTATTTGCTCTCTCCATGAAATCAGTGAAAAGCATATTTGAAACTGTGTGCAGGGCTTTAGCAAAATTTTGAAGTCAGATAGCTTGTATGATGTAGTCATGCTTTTATTAATGCTTACTGTGAAGGCCAAAGAACACTCCAAATTAACAAATTCATACTTAATGTTGTATGACCACGTCAGAGGGCAAGTGTGTAAAGCAGTTATGAACAACCACATCTGAGAGGACAAAACCCTGCCGTCATAGGGAGGGGTGAGACAGTTGCACACACTTTGGGCAATCTGTTCTCAAAGACATTTGTGCACTCAAATTGCACACAGATAAAGTTGTGTGCAGAATGAAACACAGAGCTTGAAATAAAAACTCAAACCCTGTTTTCTCATGTCTATACACCTGGCTAAGTGTTGCGTAAACCAGGTGTTCTCATTAAGATTATTATTTCATAAAGTTACAACATTTTTTAAAGGAAGCCAACATCAGAAAATGTGTGTGGGAAGGGGGTTTCAGATACTGTTCAACCATTCAACAAGCACTCTGGTTGAAGCATACTGACACCTTAACATATTTGCTTCCATCTTATTAATCACCTTTGCTTCTGTGTTTGTCCTGCAGCTAGCTATGGAGCGTACCCCATCTGTAAAGGCTGCTCGGTGTGCTCCAGAGACAACGGCTGTGTAAACTGCCAGCCCAAACTCTTCCTGTTTTTACGGAGGGAGAGGATGAGGCAGTACGGGGAGTGTCTTCACGACTGTCCAGCCGGATACTACGGCATGCGCAGCCCTGAACTCAACATGTGCTCCAGTAAGTCTTCTCAAGTTTTTTAACTCATCCAGCCTCCCTTCACCCCTTCCCTTGAGTCTCCCACACCGCTGAATTTCCCCTCCTTTTCCTAACACCCCAACCACCCCATCTTCCCCAGACACGCATACACACTCCCTCAGCTTCCCCCTTTTCCCACAACACATGATTTATTGTCAATTATCCAGAGGAGACACACATACCTCGCAATTTGAACGGCTCATCTGTTCACACAGGTGGATGTAAGTAGTGAAGCCTCGTCTTAGCGGCGTCTCCCTGGGGATTTAACACTGAACTCCAGCTAGGATGAGCGCTGTTTCTCATTTCTCTTTAACACTCCCCTTACACCTACAATACCAGTCAAGAGGATGTTTAAAGGCATGAAATCCAGGTGCAAATGCAACCAAGATGCACTGAAGATTCGGCCAAACCTACTCCAGAGACTGGTAACGTCATATTAAAAGCAACATGTAAAAGCCAGCCCTTTTGGCCATGTCATTCAATATCATCTGAACTACAAAGATGATTATATATTCGCATTAGGGCATGAAAATAGCTTCTTTTGTTGACTGCCTGCAAGGGTTTGCGGACTGAGATTTTCACCAGACAGTATAATTTCTTGGCGGCCAACGTAGTTTTTGACTTTGAACAGAAAACCAGTCACAAATGAAGTGTCCAGATCCTCCACCATTTACTGTGTTTTCAATGAAGTTTGATAAAAGAAAACAAAGCATTAAGAGCAGCAAAGCATTATCACTGAAGATTAGTAGTGGAGTCACAAGGAGGGCAAACATCATCACGTTAATTACTGTTTCAGCGATGAAACCAAATGACATTTTTAGCTAAAAGTCTCATAATAGTCTCATTGTTACGCATATTACTTTTGTGGCCTGCAGTAAAAGTAGTAAATGTTATTTTTCACCATACTTTTTCTTTGGTGGAAAATATTGTTTTGGTTTAATAACGTGAAACAGACCACACATTCTCTCTCACACACTCTGAATTATGTTTTACTCTAATAAAAATCCAAACAATAACAGCGAAACATTGATAAGCTCTCATGATTCTCGTTAAAGAATAACACTAAAATCCAATTAATGAAATGTCTCCCTCTCCTCCTCATGTAGCACCCCGATCTCATAACCTTATTTTAACATGGAATATGCTCAAACAGAGAGAGAGAGAGAGGGAGCCTTTATAGCTTTACACAGAGCCCGAGGTGTTGGCTGAGTGTTTCATATGAAAACAGAGAGGAACTTGAACTCACTTGGTTCCCTGAGCCAAACTCCTGACAGACGCAAACCCCAGAGGAGGGTGTCCGGACCTTTAGGCCCAATAATTCGAACATGCAGCAACCGCAGGAAGGAAAAAAAAAAAGTTCTGCTTACCCAATCACTGCCAACATAGATGCAACATCCACTGGCTCCATTTGATTATGAAAATGAAAAGCATGTTAAAGCTGCACCAGACAGTTTTGGATGTACCCAGAAATCTGGCAATTTGATAAGCATGTTCACATTTAGCAGGACAAGTTGTGATGATTACCTAATGCATTAATTAGTAACATGTGACAATGATGATTTTTTTTCCCATAGAGCAGCCGGCAGAGAATTCCACCGACCAAGCTGGCTACTTCCAGTTTAGATGTCCACTAGCTTAAATTGGAATAAAATGATTCAATCAATCTATTGAACACTTTTCGCATGTTATCAGACCGGATGGGTTATATTCTAAAAATGAAATGTATTATTTCGCTGGGGTTGTGACCCTCAAAAAAATGTATCCACTGATTTACAGATGTCTCTTTCACCACGTAATTCAATGGGAAAAGTCTTTCTGGGCCACAGGGTGCCACATGACGGATGTATACTGTTTGGCCATTACGAAATCTTGGCTTTAAAGCTCAGCACACTTCTTGGGGGACTGGTTTATATCCTCTCTTTGTGATCAGTTGACAGACTGGTCCTGTATCTGTATCTGTTAGCTAGCAGGTGCAAGGATAACATAAAACAAGAAAAAATTTGATACCCACTAAAGCGCCATACTCAACGCCATACTTAAGGCGTAGGCTCTACCCACCCTATACTGTAGCCTGACGTGCACCTTCTCAGAAATGTAACTAAATGTGGTGACGACACAGACCTCCTCTCGGTTTTTGTAAGCTGAAACCATTTCCCTTAGTGGAAATGAAGCTTTTATTTACTTTTATTTCACAGATAAGAAACAATAAATTGTGAAGAAAATAAAGCCTCCACAAAATAACATTTTCAGTCTTGTGTGTGATGTATCCTGGCTTCATACTGTATTAGTAAAGGAAATCTCTGTTAGTCGCTAGGCTAATTTATACAATGTAAAGTGCCATAGGCTTGTGCTGGTGACGCATGTTGTGTTTGTTTGAAAACGTGCTTATTTTAAGACTGTTGTTTTTTAATGGAGCTGAATTTTGTAAGGTTACCTTTTTTAATGTTGCTTTTGTCCCTGGCTTAATATGAGTAGAGGAAATGTCCGCTAGTCACTACGTTTATACAATGTAAATTGCCTTGGGCTTATGCTAAATATATAAGCATGTTGTATTTGTGGGGAAAATGTGTCCAGCAAAAGACAAGTGCTTTGTCTATGAATGCTGCGAGTTATAGTGAAGCCGACTTCTGTACTCGCTATTTAGCCATGTTTAATGTGTGTTTTGGGTGCATTTTGAATCAACTAAACTTAACAGCACTTCACAAAAACCCCGCCGCCAACTAGTGTTTTGGAGGTGTAATTGCAGAGCGACACACCGCACAAGTGCTCACAATGGCATAGGCCACATGCGTAGGCTATGGCGAAGAGTCTGCGTAGATCTGACGCACACGTATAAATCCGCTATAACTCCAAAGTTGTTATTTATATGTTGTGCCCTCTTAGCTAGCTTGGTAAAGTTAGTCACTGGTAAATCTACATTCAGGAATCCCTTGGTTTGGTTCGCGGTTGGAGGGTGTATGACTCATCAGTGACTCATTGATGTAAGCTAGCTGCATGTTCAACCTATCTCATTTTCTATTTCTACATGTGGTAAATACAAAAACGGGAGTAATTAAAAAAATGTCCAAAAGTATCAATACCAAACATCAAGATTCCATTTTAACAAGTGAGGTGAATCTGTCTTGCAGCACCTCTGTGTCATGTAGGCTCAGAACATTTTTGTCTACTGCAGTTTTACCCAGTAACAGTCATTTCACTTTATCTGCATGACTCAGAGAATTGGAAGAGAAAGACATCTTGGTAAAAAGTCTCTCTCTCTCTCTTTTTTATTTTTTTTTTACTTTAACCCTGCTATCCTAACCGCTATATCTCCATGTTGGGTGAAGTTTGACTTTAAATGATCCTGATGTGTGGCAAGTTAATCTGAATCCCGCTCCATACAAACTGCTCATAGAACAACATCTTGTATTGTCACGTAGCATCAGATCTCAGAGCGAGACCTACTTTGATGTGATCACTGTTTCAGTCATTGCTCTCTAATCCAGTTTCCTATTTGACCCCCATTCTCAGCTGCGCTCCGCATGTCATTTTCACTAAACACTTCACGTCCAACCTCCATAAGGGGATATTTTATTGGGTTGGAAGCTAATTGTCGGGTCAGTGGATATTATTTGTGAGTTGACACAGGCAACTGGTATGCAAGAGCTCAAAGGCACAGTGGACAAATGACGGTGAGGGGGTTCTCTGCGGACGCGGTCGGAGCTGCCGGGTGCTCCTGGTTTCCAAAGAGGCCTGGAACGTGGCATTATGTCTCTGTTATCATGAGCTTTTTAAACACAGGCTCTGAAATCACTTAGGGAGCAGCTGCTTATTATTACACCAGAGTTTGTCTGTGTGATCTTATCTCATTCAAGAATTTTTTTGTGGACTGCCTGGGTAAAGGAAAACAAGAGCAAGACAAGCAAGAGGTTTGTACGCTCAGCCGCTCGCTGGTTGAAACCTCACTTTCAATTTTTCTAAAGGGCCTCCTGAGGCATGTGATGGAGAGAGCCATGGCTGGAGAGGAGGGATGAATACACTTTTTACTGCATGAGCTCTCAATATGATGTATTTTGACCCAGTCAGAATCACTCAGATAGTTTCACCAATAGGTCAGTAAGAGACGGCTAATTTTAGCCCGAAACAGTCTGTCTGTGAGCATATGCATGTAGATATTATTTATATAAAACATCTAAAACAGCATTTAAAAAACCTTCTTTAGTATTCTTTTTCACCCCCATGGGTGGGCTACAGCTTATCCCAGCATGCACTGGGCAAAAACTATGGAGAGGTCATCAGTTTGTCTCTGGGCTAAAACATAAGCTGTGTCATATATTCATCATTAATTTTTGCCAGTTGTTCAGCATGTTTTGAAGATGTCACAGTTCAGACTATATAATAAGTCAACCTCCTGATCATAAAGTTGTACATTTATGATTTTAAGAGATGAGGATTGCCTGAATGCACCGTTAGTTTTGGTCACAGCAGAGGTCGACTGTTTCATTCAGGGCAGAGGAGCAGGCTCAGCGTGGCCTTCTGGTCTTCTAAAATACCAACCTGGGAACACCCTTAGTCAACTGATTGGTGGAGGAAATGGTGGGAGTTGGACAGAGAGTGAATGGATATAGCATAAAGAAAGTCTTCCTGATTGAAGTTACACTGAGCTTCATAGGCAGTATAAAGAGCAGAAAAGTCTGTGTAGGGAGGAGGTCGGAGTGGTGAATGCGACAATAAACACCTGACTTTTACTCAGGAGACAGCTGTTTGTGTCCCATGTGAAACTAAGAATCAACACTCCCTTTTTTATGTTAACATACTTGTGTCCTTTATGTAGTTACACATGCATCCCTCCTTTGTTCTCAAAGACATTCTTGTCCACACACTGTTGTAAAAAAAAAATCTCCGTCCAAATGAAAATGCAAAAACACAATTGAAACTCTGTCAAGAGCATGCCAAATCCACAGGCTGTGATATAACCGTAACCCTGAAGCCACGCAAAGAAG